GGGCCACTCTAAGCTCGCTGGGCTGTCTCCAGGGCTCTGAACCTGACCTGTTTCCTGAGCACTGAATTGCCTGGGAACTCCAAGTGCAGAGTGGGGTGTGCCCGCCAGGCGGGGGGCTGGGAGGAGGTAGGGCGTCAGGGCTGCCCCTTCTCCACCCCGGTGTTCTCACGCCGCCCAGGCCACAGCCTGATCTGCACCGCGTCATCTGTGGTCTACTTACCATGGAGTGGCCCAGAAGGAAGACGGGCAGCCCCGGGTGGTCTTTCTGCACAGCATCCACGTGCTGTAAGGCATCCCTGACGAAAACGTGGAAGTCGGACACTACCATCCTCTCCCCTTCGCTCTGTCCATGGCCCACTGGAAGGGAAGGGGAGACGAGAGAATAGCAGTGACTGGAGGGCTGACTCCTGCCCAAGGGCAGCGGTTTCCTCACCAGGGTTACCAGACACGCTGCACTGAGGACCTGACTGGGTCATCTCACTAAACCGTCCCGACTGCTCTTGCACATGGGGATTCGTCCCCCCCAACGGTGCAGTTAGGAGGTTGTGGCACAGGGTGGCCAAGGAACTTGCCACCATCACACAGTGAACCATGCCCCAAACCCTCCCACACAGCCAGCTGCTCCCGTGGCCGTTCTCCAGGGACAAAGAAAGGCAGGTGCAAGGAGAAACTCACCAAGCCCACGTTTTTGTCAAGTGGCCGGGAGTCAGACCCATGAGGCTCAACATTTCCCTGGGTTTTCCCAGTTCCTGGACCCTCACGGTTCTGTTCCCATGTTAGCCTTTCACCAGGTGAAGTGTCACCTCACTCTATAGAAGGTGCTATGACAAACATAACACAAAACAGTCAAGTGTGCTTGCTGGAAATTTTCTCGACAAAACAGCAGTAAAACCGGGTCAGGTTCTATCCCTCTGGGATCTTATCTGCCACCTGCCTGGGCTGTTCATTCCCCCTCTTCTTTTCTTAGGGAGTATCTGGGTTTACCTCCCACCCCAGGAGGACATAAGTCTCTATAGAAACAGTACATCGTCTGCGGCTTCCACATTCAGGCTGAAAGCAGCTGATGTGATTGCTTGAAAATCACAGAAAAGGAAGAGCTCGGAGAGGACAGGGCCACACAACACAGTGGGAGAATCAGCGCAGCCCCTCCCTGCTGCTTCTGCGAGGAAGCTATTACAGTGGCGATTGTAACACTCGTTGCACAGATGAGAAGGGTGAGGACTCAGCATCGCCTGAAATGGACTGGCTGCCAGACCTCAGTGTGGTCAGACCACAGCCTCCTCTTTCCTAAGGTCCTGTCCCCCTCCCCATGGACTCCCATCCTCCCGCTGCCCTGCCCCACCTGCTCTCTGCCCCCTGCATGAAGGCCAGGGCCCAGGCCTGTCACTCTTTCAGCAGCACCCTCAGCTCCCTTGCCTCTCTGAGGATTTTTTCCCTTTTAAAATTTAATTACATTTAATTAAGTTTAATTTTGTATTGTGGTAAAATATATATAATCTAAAATTTATACCCTTGTAACCATTTATTAGTGTACAGCTCCGTGGTATTAGGTACATTCACACTTAACCATCACCACCATCCTTCGCCAGAACTTTTTATTTTCCCAAACGAAAACTCCATACTCATTGTTAAGGGCTGAATTATGTGCAAACCGCCCCTCCCCTCCCTCAACAATTCATATGTTGAAGTCCTAACCCCCAGTGACTACTTGGAGACAGGACCTTTAAAGAGGCCATTAAGCTAAAATGAGGTCACTAGAGTGGGCCCTAATCAAATAGGACTGGTGTCTTATAAGAAGAGGCAATTAGGACACAGACACACACAGAGGAAAGACCATGAGGACAAAGGGAGAAGACGATGGTCTGCAAGCCAAGGAGAGAGGCCTCAATGAAACTAACCCTGCTGACACCTTGATCTCTGACTTCCAGCCTCTGAAACTGTGAGGAAATAATGTCTATTGTTTAAGCCACCAGGTCTGTGGTACTTTGTTATGGCAGCTCAAGCTGACTAATACCTGCATTAAACACATATTCCCCGTTCCACTCCCTCCAGCCCCTGGCACTCACCCTTCTACTTTCTGTTTCTTTGAATTGGACTACTCTAAGAATCTCCTACAAGTGAATCCTACAGTTTTGTCTTTTTGTGTCCAGTTTATGTCACTTAGCATAATGTCTTCAAGATTCATCCTTGTTATATAACACATGTCAGAATTTCCTTCTTTTTTAATTTTCTATTATTTTTAAAATACATTTTTGAATTGATTTCAGAGGGGAAGGGAGGGGGAAGAAAGAGAGATATAAACATCAACGATGAGAGAAAATCATTGATTGGCTGCCTCCTGCATGACCCCACCGGGAATTGAACCATGGTTGCCTGGTTCATAGATCAACAATCAACCACTGAGCCACACTGACTGGGCCAGAATTTCCTTTTTTTTTTTTAAAGGCTGAATAATATTCCACTATATGCATATACCTACCACATTTTGTTTATCTAGTCAACTGTCAATGGACACTTAGGTTGCTTCCACCTCTTGGCTGTTGTGGATACTGCTTGCTGCTATGAACATGGGTGTGCGAATATTGTTTGAGCTATTGCTTTGAATTCTTTGGGGTATATACCCAGAGGTGGGATTGCTGGGTCATATGGTAATTCTGCTTAGTGTTTTGAGGAATGGCCCCTCTGAGTCTGAGCTGGAACATCTTTCGCTCTAGACTCAGCTCACAGCAGCCCTTCTCCAGCCTATTCCGTGAGGGCTGGGTGAGCATGAGCTGTGAGCCAGGCAACAGGACGTACTGCCTCTTCACACAAACTCAGTCACCAAACAAATTTGCCTCAGCATCTCCTCCAAATGTCCCCCTTACCCTAAAGCCTGTAAACCTACCTCCTGACTCTGGGCAGACACTATCACTCTTTTTTTAAAAAAATATGGACCAACCAACATGGCCTTCCTGACTTTTCCCCCCTGTGACGGCTTCCCTTCTTTACCAAAGTAGATTCTTCCTGATCCTAGTGGCTCCTGGCCCAGCTCTCCCTCCCTCCTCTCTCTCTCTCTCTCTCTCTCCTCTCTGGAGATACAGTAGCTCCCTAATATCATCTTATATTCAGTCCAAATTCAAATTCCCCGATTGCTGTTTCACTCTACCTGCAAGGTGCGAGAGAGAGGGCCTGTTTCTCTCCGCCTTACAAACAAAGCATCTTGGTTGCTGTTTGGATTTTGCTCATATAATAGGAGAGAAAGAGTATGTGGAGCATCTTCTTGCCCACTCCAGGGTTATAAAGGAATTCAGCCATATCGTCTGTGAATTATTTTATGGTTTTCATTTCCTTTTTTGTGTGATAATATACACACAACATACAACTTACACTAACCATTTTTAAGTGTCCAGTTCAGAGGCATTAAGTGCATTCACATTGTTGTGCAACCTTCACCACCAACTATCACAAGATCCATTTGGAGTTTATCTTGGTATATGGTGTGAGAGAAGGATCTCTTTCCCTACGGCTCTTTTTTAAAAACTTGAGGTGAAATTCATATACCATAAAATTAACCATTATAAAGCATACCAAGTAAGTGGCATTTAGTATATCCACAATGTTGTTCAGCCACACCTCTATCAAGTTCCAAAATGCAGAAGCGTCTTAATTGTCTCACCAGAACTTGCTAAGAGGTCCTTTATTATTTCACCGAATTGCGATGTCATCCTTATCATATGTGAAAGTTTCCTTTTCACTCTAGTCTATTTCTGGATTTCTGCTCAGTTCCCCTGGTCTGCTTATTCACGAACCAGCCCTTATCACTGGGCATGACTGTGTCCGCCTAGCCTGTCTACCTACTATGCCAGGAGACTCTGGTCATCTCCACGCTCTCCCATGCTGTGACTCTCATCCGAAGGCAGATGTCTCCCAGTCTCTGGCTCTGGGTTCTTTCCAGAGCTAAAAATCCACCTTGTCAAGCCCAGGAAGAAGGATTCCCCTGGCTGCCCCATGGTTCCTCAAGCAGCTTCTAAACGGCTCTCTCTTGGGTTCCATATCATGGTTAATGACCCCTATCCCCCTTCAGAATCATTCAGGCTCCAAATAGAGCTGTCATCTTTGAATTCAGTTCTAACCCTCTGTCCAGCTGGTCACAAAATTCTTCTGGATTTCTAGGTCACAGCCTCCCGAATCCGTCTCCTTCCTTCCACGCCTACGTTACTCACGGGACTGAGACGCCCGTTGCCTTTGAATTGGTGATAGCTTCCTACCCAGTCCCCCGTCCACCCCAAGCTCTCCCTGCTCTGACCCACTCTGCACTGTCCGGCATCCGCTGCTTGAAGCGCTCTGATCTGGTAGTGTCAGAGGGTCCCGCTGTTTCAGAACTCAGTCCACGCATTCCAGCCCAGCATTTGGGGCCTCCACCAAAGGCTCCCACTGGTCCCTCTGCCTTGCTAGAAAGCATGGTCTGAGAGACACTCACACACCTGCCCATTGTTTCTCAAAGCACAGCCACACTTTCCTGCCCTGTGGCTCTCATTGACCCCCCTCTGCAGTGGTGCCCTCACCCCTGCATCAGGCCAGGAGCAGTCTTTTAAGGCCTGTCTCAAATCCTATCACTTCTATGGAGGCAATTCTCTCAATACAGGTTAAAGTTTTCCCCCTTCATCCCCCAAAGCACTTCTTGTCTCTATTACATGTGAATTGATTGGAATCCCGCCCCCCCCACCTCACCCCCCGCCATTTCTCTCTTTAAGTACCACACCTACCGATCCTGTGGACTGAGGGTCTAATTGCAGAGTGGAGGCCCCCAACTGCACTGGCTGTGGAGGATTCTAAGGCCGGTCCCACTGGACTGAGCAGAAGAGAGTACTGTGAGCGACTGGTGATGTCTGCCATGTGAGTAGTGATGCATCGATGGGCTGGGGGAGGAGGTTCGGCACGTGTGTGCCCCATATTTGCCGGGTGATCCTTGATAGCCATGATCGTGTTTTCTTCATCTGCACATTCCTCAGGGCGCTGTGCACAGGCCCGGCAGAGGCTTGATAAACGCCTGTTGCAATGAACTGCAGGCCGTACTTTCATAGTGGCCACTCACCAGACATGCAGCTCCGCCCCTCCAGCTTTAGCTGAGGCGATACATTTCCTTTCCTACCACGGAAGCTGACCTACTGAGCAGCAGTTCTGTGTATGCAGTTAAATTCTTCTCTTCCTAGTATTTTTTAAAAGGAAGAACCTTGAGCCACAGACCTTAATCCAATGTATTTTTCGTTTTATTTACCCTGATTCTGCTATGTACTAACTATGTTTTTTATTCTCTGTATTTCGATGCTTTCATGTCTGGTTAAAGCTGACCCTAGAGGAACTGCCCTCCCAGGATT